TAGATTAGATTATAAAAGTTCATGATATTGCTGTATGATTATTTCAATGTTTATGATAATTTTATTTTCATTTATAATAAAAATGTTTAAATTATCAAGTATCATTGATTACATTTTGTGTGATAATGATGAAAACTATTATAAATTTTTAAAATAAAAAAGAAATTTCATTGTCTGATAGGTTATTCAGGTGTCATAAATATAAATGGGGTGAGAATAGCTGGCCTGTCGGGCATCTACAAAGATTACAATTTCCATAGAGGTCATTTTGAACATCCTCCTTACGATGAGAAGACCCTCAGATCGTGCTACCACATAAGAAATATTGATGTTTTCAGACTGAAGCAGGTATTTTTGATTATTTTTCAGTTTTTCTCTCTTTTTTATTTTTTCGAGTTGAATATTTAAAAAGTGGCGATGAGGTCATGTTTTGCAAGTTAAATTTTTATTAATAAGCAAAGATGTTTTCAAATATTTTTTTTAGCTTACTCTCAATCTTAGAGTTCACAGCTTAAAAGTTGTTTTGTGTAACTGTTTTTCACTATTATTTCAAATGCGAACAAAATGGACATAATTTAAATTTAGTTTCCTTTCATGAGATCATTTCATTTAATACGGAGTGTATATCTTTCTCAACCTGAGTGATGATATTATTGAAAGACTTACCAACATTTAAATGGTTTATATTTCTATGGCACACTTTTATTCATTTAATGATTTACCACAACTAACTTTTCAACTTGTTTCTTCACAGATTCGCAAAAAGATAGATATATTTCTGTCCCATGACTGGCCACAAGGCATTTATGACTATGGGGACGTAGTAGGGCTGTTACATGAGAAAAAATACTTCAGAGAAGAGGTAGAAACTGGAACATTGGGCAGTCCTGTCGGCAGGGAGCTCCTGTTTAAACTGAAACCTCAGTATTGGTTCGCGGCACATCTTCACTGCAAGTTTTCAGCCGTCGTTGGACATCTTGTGAGTTGAAATTTTTTTATTTTCTAAAAAAGATACGACTTGCAACACTCACTAACCATGACCACATGGAAAATTATTTTAACTGAGTTTATTCCACTCCTTACTGGATTCATTTATTACTTTTTTTTATTTAAAATACTTTTGAAAAACAGTTAGCAAGTGTTGTATAATAATTATTTATACATTTCATAGAATGAAGCAGGCTTACCAGATGGCGAAACAAAATTTTTATCCTTGGACAAATGTTTGCCACATAGAAAATTCTTACAGGTTATTCAATTTTTTTAATTTTCAATTTTGTTGAAATTGTTTCCGAATTTTTGATTTTCTCAATAGAGTGTATCTGAGTAAATTTTTTAGTCATAATTTATTTATTAATTTTTTTATAATTTTAATCGATTTTTTTGTAAAAACTTTTTCAACTTGCAATATATTTTCAATGGTTAACAAACAATGTGAACATTTTTATTCCAGATCATAGAAGTGCAGTCATCAAACAATGACGACATCAGCATCTCACTTGACGCCGAATGGATGAGTATTTTAAAATCAACTAATGATTTTTTCAGCTTGTCACCAGCTACCTGCTTCTTGCCAGATGAAGCAAGCACAGGAAGGTTTGAATCTGTTACATTTTTTTTTTAATTTTATAGCAGTGTTTTAAATACTTGTTAATAAACTTAAGTGTATCAGTGCAAAGTAAAATCGTTGAATTTTTTTCTGTTTTGCCCAGAATAACTTGCTACTACAGTTGACATTTTACCATGCACTTACTTTATATAAGATGTTGTTTTCATTTTAATTAATGTTTAAAAAATATTGATGTAACAAACTTTTTGTGATTTCAAGGTATGATTTCAGTGCATCAGAATCAGATATGAAGGAGGTAGCCATGGCATTTAATGACGATTTCAAAGTCCCAAAAGATTTCAGACCAACTGCTCCGCCATTATTGGCTACTGATAGGCCTAATGAACGCCATAGTCACATTTCTTTACTATATTTAAATGAACAAACTGTTAGGTTGTGCGCCAAATTGGATTTGATAAATCCGTATGGCACGTTTTTAAAAAACATTGAAGATAGAAACAGAAGTTTCTCTGCAAATGATAGTCAGTTGTCAGACGGTTTTCAAATGTCTACCTCAAATTCCTTTCTATTAGAAAAATCTCAAAACCCTGATGAAATATCGTTGGACGATGAGGACTGTGCTGATGGTGAACCTAATACTACCGGTGATCGTTCAGTTTCTTCACCTTTCAACTTACAGAAAGCTCTGGATGTTAGTGAAAAATTATTTTCAGATGATAAAGGTGATACAAAAGATGATGGTGATGATAGAATTGTTCAAAATGAATCAAAAGTCCGCGGTGTTAGGCGTCTTTCGGAGGAATCAGATGACGAAGGGAATGTGAATACGTCGGGCACCAAACCAGACCTTAGCTACAAGTCACGAAGTTTAAAAAGAAGAAACGTGGCGATGTATTCAATTTTAAACTCAGCTCATGAAAATAGCGATTAAAAATAAATATTATGGAATTTTAATTCGTTATTGTTAAATTTTTTTTTAGTATTTTTTACTGATTTGTTAATGCTTGTTAAAAATTATATCATGAAAGGCAGTTGCGATGTTTTTAAATAAAAAAATTTGGTTTGATCAGTATCATTTGCATTTTATCATATAGTTGTTTTGTACTATGATACCAACAAAAAATTAAAATGTACAAGTACAAATAGTTTCAATTTTTTCGCTATAGCGAAATAAGTATAATTTTTTACTCGAATTTTGAAATAGCTCAAAATATAACGATAATGGCGCAAACGTTTTCTCAACAACGTTCAAGTTAAGTTGCATTATTTAAATTCACCGTAATTATTGTCTTGACCTTTAATTATTGAATCCATTGTATTCTATAAAGGTTTGTTAAATCTCAGTTAAGCGCTAGTATAACTTTTTTTATTAGATTAGATTTACCTTGATTATTTACGTTGAGTGTTTTAAACCTGTTGGTTTTTTTGAATTTCTTTTTATTTTTTAGAGTCTAGAATGTTTGTTTATTTAATTCTTTTTTAATAAATCTACTCATCCCGATGTTTGTAAGGCACGTGATGTTCATCTGTTTTTTTCTTGCGACGTTCGTCATCGCTCTGGAATCTGGCCGTAAGATGACCACTGCTGATGATGGCCAACCTGTAGAAGACTCGACAACTACAGATTCTGTTGACCCACCCGTGCCGACTACAACTACTACCACTGCATTTTTTTTTTCATCCGGGTCCTCCATGTCCACAGACGTCACCATCACAGCCAACAATAACAGTACTGCTGATGGGACTGACATCAAACATAATGATGGTACAATATCTTTGCTTGAAAATAAAGATGTCTTCACGAGAGCGCTTCTCGTCGTCGTCTGTGTGTCTGCCATTGTTGTTGTCTACTTGCTAATCCGTTGTTTGCGGTTTGTTTTTAATTATTTCTTTCTTTTTATTTGAGTTTGCCATACCAAAACCAAATTAAACATATATATATATATATAATATATTTTTTTTTTTAAATATATATATAAATAAATAATAATAAAAAATAATAAATATATATATATAAATATATGTCAATAAGTGCTATTAATACATAATTACACATAAAAAAGTAACCTTGGCTAAAGTTAACCTAACTTACTAAACCTAAACTTATTTGATAAATTATCTAATTAGCTTCTAATGGGTTATTTGAATTATATTTTTATCTATCATACGACAAAGTTTTGATTTTTATAAAATGCTAGTCACACATTTTACCAGAATTTGTCAACAAATTTAATATAAAGTCATTTGCTGATATTATCATTACCATTACATCTTTCAGCCTAATTTTTAATAAATATAATAGTTATATGTTTTGCTGGCTATTTATATAAAAAAATGAATTTCTTATTTATGTGATTTTTCTTTTCACCTTTAACAGACATCGGCACCAAATGAGCAAAACTCGCAAATACGGTTTAATAGCTTCCAAAGATGACCCCATTGAGATGAAACCACTAGATGACGATGAAGAGGATGAGGACATTACAGTTTTTGACAGAATTCCTAAACTATCTTCGTATACAAACAGTTTATCACAGAACCTGACTCACCAAAATAAAATTGACAGCAGTCCCAGTCACAATATCAGTGATACAGACAGCACTGATTTTGAAATTAACGTGGCTAGTGACAGACTACACAAAGATAAGGCACCATAGTAGCAGATCTTTAAACTATACAATATAATTTAGTATCTCATATATGTGCCTATGGCCAGCCTGTTTTTAGTTCTAGGCACTTTGTAATATTCATCCATACCATTGTATGTAATTATTATATATTAGGCTATTATATAATTGTTAAGTCTCAAATATTACCATATTACCCATCTACCTGCATTGTGCATCTATCTGAACACTCCTACACTGCTTTCTTATTTATATAAAATTTGTTTAATGATCTGTTAAAATGAATTCATTTAATTTATTGTTTTAGAAATAAATTGGTTCTGGTGACTAATATTCATTATGAACTTTATTTTTTCTTATTTATTTGTTGTTTATTATAAGTACAACCTCTGGTTCAGTTGTCTATATTATAATTAGTACATACTAAGTACCATGCAGATATGTTTATGAAGTATGATGTACATTTATGTATGTACATATACACACAAATATATGTAAGTACACATGTATATATATGCATGTCCATATCTACTTACTTATAACGTCAAATGGAGCTACATTGTTTTCAGAGCAGTATTTTAAATATTTTTATGACGCGTGCCTTCTTATGTAAGATGCAATAATACTAAAATAGATTAATATCCATGAATGTTATTGCTTCAATTCATTGCATTTACGTTAGTTTCTTTTTTTAAAGATTGTTTTAAGAAATTGTGCATAATTCATTTTCTCAAGAAAAGAATATAATTGGAAGCTTTTTTGTCCAATTTACCAAAAAACCTAAAATAATACTTTAAAAACAATTTGCAAACAAAAATGAATGAGTGGATGTGGGTAGTTGTGTTTAACATAGTCATATTGATGAACTGAAATTATTTTAGAAACTTGAAACATCTAAACAAATTTTGGTTTGTCTGCTTTAGCTGCCCGATTCGCGGCTGCTCCTGCTGACGACAACGGCGTCAAGGCTGGTGACGATGATGACATTTTGGGTGGTGACGCTGCTGATTTGGATGGTGATGACGGCAGCGGTGAGGATGGTAGCGGCGATGGCGGTAGCGATGGTGCTGGTCCAACTGGTTTAGTAACTGTCGTACTGACGGTTTTAAATATGGCCATGGCCTGAATGAGAATGATGGTTGTTGAGAAGTGACAAAAAAAGATTTTGGCGTTAAGTGAGTAGTTTTAGTAACAAATTTTAATTAAATTTTTATAATACAATTTTTTATCTTTCATATTTAACATTCGCGAGATGAACGTGTGTGGCTATGATACACCAGATATGACAGTATAATTTTCATCAAAAGATTGAGTTTATTTTTCTTGAAACCACAATTCCTGATCATGTCAGAAAGTTTTCATTTGAATTTATTTTAACATTATTTATAGTCAAAAAATTATTGAATCCAATAACAATTAAATGAAAAACACATGTTCAAGTCAAGTGAACAGCAAATGAAATCGATAGCAATTAGGGATGCACCGAAGTTCGGCTCCGGCCTCGGCCAAAATCCGGCTTTTTTTTCAAATCCGGCCCCGGCCGGATTTGGTGGCCGGATTTAGGGCCGGATTTAAGCGTCTATCAACTTTTAAAAATGTTAGAAATAGAAAAAAAATTTTATTGAATTCAATTAATTTTATGTCAATAAGTTATTGGCTAAAGCTAAGCTAAAGGCATACATGACACATAATAACAACATCACTAATTGTGAGGTGATCTAGACAATTTTCTTTATGCTATAACATGGGTTATGCATAAATTATAAGCTGATCTTTGTGTAAAAGAACTTAAGCACGTGTATATATTATATATTGATAATTGCACATGACGGATCATATAGTTACATAATATATATATATATATATATATAAATATATATATATATATATATATATAAATAAAGATATATATCTATATATATATATATATTTAGAGAGAGAGAGAGAGAGAGAGAGAGAGAGAGATACATGAGCACATAATTTAAAAACATGGTATGTTAAAGGTTAGGCTAGGTATACATGACACATAATTACAACATCACTAATTGTGCGGTGAGCTGGACAATTTTCTTTGTGCTTTAACTTGGGTTATGCAAATATGCATAAATTATAAGCTGATCTTTGTGTACAGAATTTGGCGTATCACACAACTTATTCATATATTTGAATTAAATAACTATTTGCTTGGTGTTATTTTATGATGTTCAACATGTAGATAACCTTAAATGTGAGTATTTTTTCTAACGTATGTAAAATGGTAACTAAAATCCGGCCCCGGCTCCGGCCGGTTTTTGAATTTCAAATCCGGCCAAGTCCAACCTGAATCCGGTGCATCCCTAATAGCAATATTAATAATATTAATAATAATGATAATAATAATAGTGATGACCTGAGTGACCATGCTGGCAACATCAGCTGTGTTACTGGGCAGAAGAACGGTGTTGCCTTGCTTTGCAATGTTGCCGAATGCCTCGATGTACTTCTCGGCTACTGATACAGACACTGCATTCTGACCATTCTGTGGTAGTGGTGGTGCGTGATTTGTTTAAGATCATAGAATGGGTGAAAAAGACTGTTCAATTATTCACACAGAACTTTGACAGTAAAAAACAGAGACAGTTTGCTTGGAAACAGTTGTAGACAAGTGTTAAGTGGTGAAAAAAAAGCTTGAAAAACAGAATATATTTTGAAAAGGCATAGTAAAAAATCGTCACTCTGGACGTATTTTCTGGAAAATACATCCAGAGTGACGCTGTGTTAATCACACCTCTTTGCAGAGAGCTTCAGCAACAAGCTGAATGGCCCTTGCTTGGGCAGTTGCTGTTGCTATCATGGCTTCTGCTTCACCTGTGTTCATTTGTGATTGGATGAAATAATATTATTTGTGGTGGTGCGTTCTGCTTCCAACGTATTGCTCTCATTGAAATGGCACGAATGAGTGAATGACAGCTGAAAGAATGACTGAATGAAATTTGCTATGATAGCAAACCGACCTTGAGCCTGGTTGACTTGTTCACTCTTGTAGGCCTCAGATGTGAGGATGCGTGCCTTCTTCTTGCCTTCGGCTACATTTATTTCCGCCTCTCTCACACCTGCAGGAGAGAGAGAAAGAATTGTTTCTAAACATATCCATCATCATCACCATCATCAGCATCATCATAATAGTTGTCACCATCATCACCATCATTAACGGCGTCCTCATCTTCATCACCATCACCAACATCATCATGTTTATTTTACCATCATCACGTTAACTTCATTATCACCACCATCATCATGCCTTCAGATTCCAATATGGAAGCCCTCTTTTTCCTCTCGGCTTCCACTTGCATCTGCATGGCTTCTTCAATTCTCGTTGGCAACTTCATATCACCTGCAAACATTCAATTAACCACAAAAAAATTGAATAATATAAAAATAATTAATAATTATATATATAATTATATAATGATAATATATAATACTTATAACAAAGATACCTGATTTGATTTTACAACAAATAAATGAACAAAAAAATTAATCAACCAGACAAATCAAAAAATGCCTCAATCGATGAAGCGAATACGAAGTTACTCGTGTGACATTATGTGATGTGCATGATGTTTTATGCTCATTAAGAAACGCTGTGTGCCCATTTAAGCATCAAAAAGAGAACTGTAAAGAATCAAGAAAAAAATGATGACATTGAGTGGAAGGAATCTTACTGACGGATTTCATAACGTTTGCAGTCAACTCCCCAAGCTTCTGCGGCCTTGTTGATCGCATCTTGTTAATGTTGATGTTTATTTTTTAGGTGAGAATATTTTAGTCAAATAACTATTTGTTATTCAACGTATCAATCAATCAATCAACCAACCAATCAATCAATCAGTCAATCAATCAATCAGTCAGTCAGTCAGTCAGTCAGTCAGTCAGTCAGTCAGTCAGTCAGTCAGTCAGTCAGTCAATCTTTAATTATACTTTTACTCAAAAGCCTATCATCCAACCAATCAACTTACAAACCAATCGACCAACCAACTCACAAATCAATTGATCAACTAACCAACCAACCAACCAACCAACCAACTCACAACAACCCAATCAACCAACCAACCCACCAACCGACTAACCGACGATAGCAACATTAAGTAACTCTCTTTCTCTAAACAGAGTATCAAGATGGATTTTTCCAATCTCAGACCTCATCGTAGTCTGGGCCAGTTGAGTGATGGCATACTCGGCATCCTCCACACCGTAACTTGCCTGTTTGGTTTTATTGTGGAAAAAAAACTTTAAATCTAGCTGATAGATTAAAACATCAAAATGTTCTAGTGATTCTATAATAAATATTATTTACTATAAAAAATTATGAGTAATATAAAAACAACATAATTAACCTTATACGGATCAACAACTCTGAGATACAAGACACCATCTATTTGTAAGTTTACATTATCTGTGGACATAGATACAATATTTAATTATAGTTAGTTTTCATTATACTTCAATTAAATTTTTTATTTGTTAAAAAAACATAATTACATTAAGATAATCATTTTATCAGTTGTTGTAATTATTTAAATGTTTGCTAAGAAAAGCCTAAATGTGAAACTAGTTTATATTTAGAAATAAAATTCCATATATAAGTCACAATAATAAACCTCTCAAAAAAAAATTAAATTTTTATTTCTTTATTAATTTATCACAATATTGAAAATCTATATTCATTAATGAAAAATTAAAAAACAAATTAGAACAAAAATTTTTTAAAATAACCAGCTGTTATGGCACTCTGTTGGGGAATGTCGATAGCAAGTTCTTTTAAACTCTGAACGTACTTTATTTTGTCCATTAGTGGAATCAAAAAATTCAATCCCTGTTCAATTTTAAATGAAATCTTAAAATTCAAAACACAAACTGAAGAGAATGATAATAGAGTTATTTATTTTAATTGTGATCAGTGGTGATAATTATCAGTGTATCTAACACATTCAAATAATTTATTAGGTTTAAGTTTAAGGAGTATTTTTAAATTCATGCCAATATTTTTTAAAATGTTTATGTGGTTAAAATTAAACAAATTAAAATTTCATTATAATACATTTACCCCTGTGCTTGCAATTTTTAAATTAAAACACACACTTATACTCTCACGGTGAGAGTCTCATCTTAACGCTTAACCATACTTACTTAAAATTCTTTTTACAAATTAATTATAAAAAAATATAGCTTTTTATCATATTTATCAATCCATGTATGAATTGTATGTCTTTCTTTTTCATTCTCCACCATATCTTCCTTGCAACCTTGATTAGTTACAGCCTAGTTTTCCACTGAAAGCGAATAAAAGTCATACCAACCTAAAAATTATTTGAAAATTAATTTAATAAATTTTATAAACTCACAGGTTCTAAGACCCTGTAGAACTTTCCAAAACGTTCGGCAATCCATGCTTCCTGTTGGGGTACGAACAAAATGGCGGTGTTCAGTGGCAGGCCCGACCTCAACCTATACTGCTGTTGCAGGGCTTGCAAGTGGCTAGTGGTGGTGCTTTTCTTCAGCAGTGCCCCAGTTACATTCTGAAAAACAAAACTTGTTTTTTTTATATTACAGAATTAAAAAATAATAAATTTAACATATTTAAATTAATTAATTAAAAAACTAATGTTACTCTGTTGGCAAATAGTTTATAAGCAGACAGAGCTTTCATCATGTTTGAAAATCTTAACCGACGATATTAGGTTTTTTGTGATGCATAGAAAAAAGAGCAAATAACATATTTGATAAATGCTTTAATTCTTTATGTGCATGCCGACCGGCTTCAACTGTTTGGATCAAGGGGAGGCCTATTTACCAGCATACAACACCTTCTTATGGGTTGAAGCAGGGATATGCAAAGAACCTCAATTTTTTCAACTTTTAATTATTTTCAGTAATGTCTCCCCTTGCTCCAAACCACATAACTAGAATAATAGGACTAATCGATCAATTCGATCTATCGGTCGGGCTATTTGTCGTGCTTGGATTGTTGGCTTACGAAATTGCATGGATTTTGACAAGCAAGCTATATGAAATATTTACTTGATTTAATATGCTTAAAACATTGTAGTAATTCTATTTAATTTTAATAATGATTAATAGAATTATGTATTATTAAATTGTTTTTGTTAATTTGAATATAAAAATTGCTTTTGGTCAGGTGAAATCCGTTGGCTTACTGAAGCCGAAGGTTGACTTAGTAGGATTGAACTATAGTCACCCTTTTTTTTTACACTATTCGATCATGTTAAAAATTGGTTTGCTTATGAAATAAACGGCCTAAATAAATCAAAATTGTTATTTGAACAACTATCTTCATTATATTCAATGAATATTTTACATTCTGCTGGTGCTCGTAAGAAACTGGCTGCTGAAATCATACGTTGGCTTACAGCAGTGGCTTACAGGGTTTCATAGAACTCTTACGATAGCACTTTTTGTACATATAATGCTTTAAATAAATCAATATATTCATACCACAATTATTTTTGTCAGTATAAATATAGAAATTGCTTTTGTCAGGTGAAAAACAGTGGCTTACTGAAGCCGTAGGTTGGCTTAATCGGATTTTTTCTCATGTATACAATACTATGAGATAAATCAATCAAACAAACAAACAATCAGTCAGTCGGTCAGTCGGTCGGTCAGTCAGTCAGCCAGCCAGCCAGCCAGTCAGCCAGTCAATCAATCAACCAACCAATCAATCAACCGATCAACTAAATTGAATGAACCAAATAAACAAAAATAAAAACAAAAATAGATAAAAAAAATTTGCAAGGCCTGTTCAAACTCGAACAAACAGTTAACCGTACAGATCTACAAACAATTTCGAGATTTTAGTAAAGAAAGAAAAACACAGTAGTTGCTTTTATTTGAATTCATTCAAAAATGAAAAGTGACGGTTAATTAAAATTTTAAAATGTCAATTTTTTTTTTAAATTCGTATTTTAAATAAACAAATACAACAAAATATCGACCGATAAAAATTATTATCCATTATTATTATTATCATACACACTCCTTAGAAGTTCCCGAAGGATAATAAACCACGTAACATGAACATTTAAGTAAGAACAGTTCACAACATATCATAATGACTAAATCAACATACTAAACAGAAATAATTTATACATGCATATATACAAAGTAAATCAAGAAATATCCAAAAATTATATAACCAATTTAAAAAAAAAACTAGAAACCAGTCAACATTTAATGAATAAATAAATAGACATTATTAAAAAGATTGTTCAAAAAGGTACAACTTAAGGCGACGACGAGAATGAAATGTAGTTTGTTTTGTTGGTGTGGTGTTGTGAAGCGAAAACAAACACATCACTAAAAACTAGTAAGAAGTCGCAAGAATAATAGTCAGTCACCTACCTATAATAAAATTACTCTCAGGGCCCTATCTTACTTATAGACATTGACTCAACTCACTTACCTACAAATTTGTATTTCTCGTTTTAGATGTTTCAAGTATTTTATTTAACATATTTTAGCGTTTTTATTTTACTTGAAGCTTTTTAACTAGTGTTAAGCCCTAGCCTACCTACAATTGTTTAACCCATCTCAGTCCTTAACTTACCTATGAATTAAATTAAAGCCCGGTTCACGGTAAAGAAAATATAAAGTTGAAGAGAAACATAACAACAACGACACCGAATGAATGGATGTTGTGTATGTATGTGTTGTATTGATGTGTGTTGTGTGTGTATGTAAATGTGCGGGCGCGCACTCTCCAGAAACTTCACTCACTACCGACGAACCTCCATTGCACCGACCATCATCTGACACGCATCGATGGAATGAATTTGACCAGATACTGAAAAATATATTGAAAAAAAATTCACTAAAATAAAAAACAAGCAATTGGAAAAAATAGGCAACTTATCTTTTTGAGATAACACACAATCTTTGTTCAAATTCGAGTAATTTCAAATGTTTAATGAGACGAAAACAAATTTACCTTTAACATTATCTTCGATTTGTCATCGGAACGATCATCATGAGACCACCATCTGAAACGTGCTGACGCCCACCACAGCCCACCTCTCATCATTCTGTAGACAAGTTTTTATTAATTAGCGAAGTAGTAAATCAAGAAACAAAGGAACGAACGAATAAATGATTAACTGAATGATTGAACGATTGGTTGAACGAATAAATTAACTAATTAATTAATCAACCAATGATTTAATGAATGAATAGAAGGAATCAATGAATAAATTCACTGAGAAATAATTTGAAAGATAGTGATGAAATGAGTGAATAAATGAGAAAAATAAAAAAAAGAAACTAAATCATACTTCAAAAACCGTCGTTGTTATCTTCGAATTGTCATCGGAACGATCATCATGAGACCTCCATCTGAAACGTGCTGATGCCCACCACAGCCCACCTCTCATCATTCTGTAGACATTTTTTTAATAGCGTATTAGTAAATCAAGGAACAAAGGAACGATCGAATAAATGATTAACCGAATGATTGAATAATTGATTGAATGAATGAGTGAATGAATTAATTAATTAATAAATCAATGATTCAATTAATGAATAGAATGAATTAACGAATCAATTAATAGAAGAATAATTTAAAAGGTTGAGTGATAAAATGAACGAATGAGAAAAATAAAAAACGAAACTAAACCTTACTTCAAAAATCGTCGTTACTGTACTTTCCATTGCACCGACTACCACCATCTGGTCGGCACACAAAATACCATCCGAACTTCAGAGTGTCAGTCGAACAGCCAACGAGCTGATTCTTCCTACATCACCATCATCATATGTAAATCATCATGAGACCACCATCTAAAACGTGCTGACTCCCACCACTGCCCACCTCTCATCATTCTGTAAACAAAATTTTTTTATTTGCGTAGTAGTAAATGAATGTTAGAATCTTAGAAGCAAAAAAAATTAAATTATAAAATGAAAATAATGTCAAATAAATAAAATTTTAAAATAATAAAGTAAAATGTAAAAAAAACTTACCGTCGTCCATTCGACAAAGGCAGAATGTTGAATGCGGTCCGGTTCCTCCTCGAGGTTGTTGTTGAAACACAGCCCGTGTTGATGGAGAAAGATAGAGAAAAAGTAGATTCTCATCAGAAAGCTTAGCGGTGCCTGCATCTCAAATTGCTTAATAAAAATAATCCTATCTACCTATTCAATTACCTTAACAAATCTATATTAAATTGTTAATGGTACGATAGTCGAAAGTCCCCCTTCATTCTTCCTCCTTGCACAGAGGTTCACCGACAGCCAGGGCACCGGATAGAAAACCATTGCCGTGCGGATAGTAGACTATTGCCGTGCGGATAGTAAACCATTTGCCGTCCGGAAGCCGTGCGGGTAGTAGACTATGGCCGTGCCGCATGATAAATCATTACCGTGCAGATAGTAAACCATTGCCGTCCGGATAGTAAACCATTGCCGGTACACCACTGGCCACCAAGGCTTACCTCTGACAAGAGACTTCGAAATTCAGAGTCTATCGGCTATCGTACCCTCAACTTACCTATTCATTACAATTAAGCCCTAGCTTACCTAAAATTACAAAAAAACTCAAGAGCCCAATTCATTTGCCAATCGGCACCCACCCCACCACCAACGTAATGCCTTGGGCTCCAACTTAGTAATAATATAAAACTTAAACCCTAAATCTATTAATGAGTGTGTGTTACAACGTAGCCTTAACTTACCTATTCATTACATTATGGCCCTAGCTTACCTAAAATTACAAAACTCAAGAGCCCAATTCATTGGCCTTTCGGCACCCACCCCACCACCTACGTAATGCCTTGGGCTCCAACCTAATAATAATAACGTAAAACTTAATAAATAACTTACCTATCGATACACTTACAGCGTTTATTTAATTTAAGTTATAAGATTGTTCCTAGAATTAAATTATTGCCCTTAACTACCTATGAAATTAAATTACTCTCAACCTTAGTAATAATAAATTAGAATTTGTAATGAAAATAAAATAACGCTCAAATACTAATATGTGTTTATGTATGTATTTGTGTGTGTGTGTATAATACGCTGATGCGTGTAATGTGGGTGCGAGAAAAAATAGAAGAGATAAACTTACGCTGCCTATCTATTCAACTACATTAGTGTTGGATGCTTCCTATCTATCCTACCTACAATTAAAATTATGCCTATCTAACCTACCTATATAATTATTTAATGTAATTGTGTGTATGTGCGTGTGAGCATTCTTACTTAATGTTAAATTACAGAGAAAAACAGAGAAAAAAGAATAAAACGTATCCCAGCCAGGCGTATCTTCTTTGCCACTGAATGAAAGAACGTAGCCTGACATCTTCCACGATGAATTCATTTGGAAGCTTCAACCTGAATAAAATGGATGAAATGGAAAAATCTTATTTATTTGACTAATTTAAATGAAAATACAAAAACGAGCCGCAGTGAATTCCGCCGGAAAAGCCAGCCAACTGGCAAAAAAAAGAACCGCAAAGAAACCGTAAAACGTACCCCAGCAGGGCGTGCATTCTTTGCCACCGAATGAACGAACGTAGCGTGACATCACAACCATCCTGATCTTCCACGATGAACTCCTCTGGAAGCTTCAACCTGGATAAATGAACCTGAAAAACCTAAATGAATGGTAAAATCTTATTTATTCAATTTAAATGTAAATAACCGCAAAGAAACCGACCGGTCGGCAAAGAAAAGAGAAAAGAAGAGCAAAGAAAGGT